ATTAACGATGCCGTTGTTTACAATACAACCGGAGCACATGCCGCTGAGGTGAGGGGCGGGACATTTAGACACGCACTAGAGGCGGTTTAGCCAATCTGGGCTAGCTAACCAATCAGAGCCCATCACCTATTTCTGAGGGCGGGGCTTCATAAAAGCAGGAAATGATCAGCGCGTTTCTCAGAGAAGGGACTGAGGGTGTGGAATAAATGTAAATTATGTGAAAAATAATGTGTTTTTTTTTTTTAACGAAGCATTAACGCATGTTAGACTGCACCCCATAAACACAATCAAGCCTAGAAAAAAAACAGTGAACCACCCCTTTAATATACAAGTGGACGAGTTATTTTCTTGTGGCTCTAACAAAGGTTAAATATACAGTTTAGTGGTCATGACACTGCAGATTGCTGCGTTGACCAATTACAATCAAGCATTTCAGAGAGCCTTACAATAATAATTATACAATCTTAAGTCTAAAAGTACTTTGTGTTCTCTCGAATGTTTAGTCAAATACAGTAGCTGAGCAGGTTATAAGTTGAAAGGATGAAAAAGATTAATCCTTTTGTAACTCATTGTTACCCTCATTTAATAATTTACATAATGTGATTTATCCATCTGTAGTTTAAATGCTGCAAGTTTGGTGATTATTGTCACACTATTAAGTCTGTTGACAGCTTCCTGTCTCATGGCTTTGGTCCTGATCACTGGTGTGATGATCTCCTCTATTTAACTCTTTGGGTTTAATAGTCTGATCACGTCACATCTGATGTGTGACCACGAACAACACTGACAAATCCACAGTGATCCAGAGAAATATCCTTAGTCAGGATACATAGCATATTACTTTTTTAAACACACAAAAGTGTGAAAGCATGAAGTTTATGGGCTAACAGTGTAACAGAGAGACAATAGCTCTGATCTTTTATATTAGCAGGGCTTTATGGACTAATATTTGCCAATGAAACGGATGAAATCTCTCACTAGAAATGTAATGTTGTAACTGTGTGTTTAATGAAGGATTGAAACCCTCTGGAGCTGTAAATGTGTTCTCATTCTCCACAGTCACAGCAGGTGAATACACATGTAATTATCTCATGATAATTAGCCGACCTCTCCTGACAGTACCTTGTGTCTGACAGTGAGGAACAGTGTGGACTGGGGTGAAGATGCTCCTGTCCCAGCAGCCAGTGTGCCGCTTTTCCACTGTTTTTGGCTGTGTTAAGGCCACAAGGTGATAATCCGTGATAACTGTTGGTTCTGATGGGGTTTGTGCTGATTGTAATGGGGTGATGTGTGCCAGGATGGGATAACCCACTGCATTAGTTATCAATGGACGTGTAATTTCACATGTGAGGAAAATGTTTAAGGTGATAAGAGCAAATTACGGAGACCGTAAAGGGACATGGTGGTGGAAAAAAAAAACATGGAGAATGAAAAATATTTTTCAATTTGTTCTCTCGCACGACCAGTTGAGTTCGGACAAACTCTTCCTATTTACTTTACAGCTTGCAGTGGTTCATACAGCTCTGTACGTTCACATTGAAGCGGTTCCTAGAGTTTTATTGAACTTGGACTCAAGTATAAAGAAATATAGTGAGTGCTTATAGTTCAAGGCACAGTTTTGGGACATTCTGAAACGCTTAATGTGGCTTCATGTACTAAAACAGTAACATTGGAGGACCAAATTCAGTACACACCATATTAATAATTACTATTATAACACTATTAATATGAATAACCTTATTAATAATTTTACTAATAAAATATTATTTACAGACAAGCAGAATAGGCCAGAATATGGACGCTAAAATGCACGTTAAGCATTTTCTCCCCATAGAAAACGTCTCAGGTTACGCATGTAACATGGTTCCTCAAGGCAACGAGACGCTGCGTCGGAGGATGCTTTAGGAATGCCCTTCAGTGTGACCGGCTCTGAACCATGTGTGTAATCAGTCCAATGGATGGACGAGACGTCACGGGCGGGGTGACGTAGTGACCAGGAAGCTTAAAAGCATGTGCAGTGAAACCGGCTTCAGCTTCTAGGAGTGAAGCAAGCGCTGGCAGAGATGCCGAAAGTATGGCCCCGATACGCAGTGTCTCGTTCCCTCGAGGAACCATGGTTACATGCGTAACCTGAGACGTTCCTCTTCAGGAACTCGAGCTGCGTCTGAGGACGCTTTGGGAACAAGTGTGCCCACGCTGCCAGACTTTTAAATCTTTGCCTAGTGTGGAAGCCTGCACAGCTAGGGCGAGAGAACAGAAGAGCCAGGAGTGGCTCGCATGTCTAGGCCATAGAACCTGACAAAGGTTAGGGGTGTGGACCATCCCGCAGCGTCGCAGATGTCCTGCGTCGAGACACCTGCCAGGAAGGCCTTGGAGGCTGCCACAGTTCTAGTAGAATGAGCCTTGACCCCTAAAGGCGAAGGGAGATCAGAGGACTCATAAGCGATCAAAATGGCATCTACTATCCACCGACTGAGGGTCTGTTTAGAAGCTGGAAGACCTCTCTTAGGGGGACCATAGCACACAAGCAGTTGGTCCGTCCTTCTCCACAGGGCAGCTCTGTGGACGTATGCGTCCAGTGCTACGTTCCCGGGCGGTGACTGAGAGTGGCGCTCGCGGGAGACTGCTGTGCCCTGTAACTCCGGCAGGGTTAGCAGACCGATCTCCTGAGGGCACTGAGGTGAGACGGACACCGTGCAATGCGGTGTAACCCGCTCCACCCCAGAAGGGCCTGCCCTCATGAGTCCTGGGCCAGTGGCGTCAGGACTTCTTGGCCAAGGATCTCTTAGTCTTAAGTACGGTCCGCAGATCCGGCTTAGACTTTGAGGCCCCTGACCCAGAGCTACTCACGGCCCCGACGCTGGGGAGCATGTGTGGCAACGCTGTTTTTGTGCCTCCCTGTATGAGGAGCTGGTACTCGGAGGGGGCTGCTCCCGCCCGGCAGCCCCCAGAGCTAGAGAGCGGCGAGGGAGGAACCTCTGGAACGTCGCCACCTGTTTATGAGCCTCCTGGTACCTATCGACGACGGAATTGATGGCGTCGCCGAACAGGCCAGAAGGTGCAAGGTGCCGCCACCATAGCTGCCATAGACCTGCCGATGGCAGGGGCGGTCTCCTTAGTGGCGCGGAGAGACAAATCAGCGGTCCTCCTGAGCTCGGTAAAATCCTCGGATTTTACCTACTCACCCTCATCCAGCTCTTTGAGCAGGTCGGCTTGGTACGCCTGCAGACATGCACCAGCCTGACCCGCTGCCGAGTACCCCTTGCCCACCAGCACTGATGTTGTGCGTATCGGCTTGGAGGGCAATGCCGGAGCCTTTAAAGACGACGCAGCATCAGGAGACAGATAGCTCGCAAGCGTCTGTTCTACCTGGGGCATTGTCTTATAACCACACTCACTCATCCCCGACACATTGCCGTAATAATCAGAAGCGGAGATAAAGAGGCGGGCCGCAATGCGGGCAGTCAGCTCTCTCGAGAGCCGACTCAGCATACTCCGCTCCCAGGCAGACAACGTACAAACTGAGGAACACACAGCATGAAACGCTGCCTGCCCTCGCCCTTGCTTAGGTGCTCCTTTTTGTCTTGTGCTTTTGACATTATTTGGACAAACAACACCAAATAAGACTCACAAACGAATATCAGATTGACACACACACAGAGCGCTTGCCGAATAACAAAAAGCTGACGCCGGTTTCACCGCACGTGCTTTTAAGCTTCCTGGTCGCTACGCCAACGTGGGGAATGCAAAAGTTTTGCGAGAGAGCGCGAAAGATTTGAAACATGTCCCTTTAGGGGCTCCATAGTAATTAATCCTGTCATTGATTTAATTGATTCCTTGTGAAGCATTCGATTTGTCGTGGCATCTCTAATGGGAAATTGTTGTTTCCCTGGGTTTGTTGTTTTTAATGGGACATTTAATTTCCCCTTTTTTATGCCAGAAGGCCTTAAACAGGACATGTATATGTATATGTATATGTATATGTATATGTATATGTACACTCTTCAAAAGTTTGGGGTTGGTAAGATTTTCTGGTATTTGATAACAAAAATACAGGAAACATTATGGAATTTATTGTGAAATTTACAATAGTTGTTATTCCTGTGATGTAAAGCTGAATTTTCAGCATCATTACTACAGTCTTCAGTGTCACATGATCCTTCAGAAATCATTCTAATATTCTGATTTGCTGCTCATGAAACATTTCTTGTAATTATCAATGTTGAAAATAGTTGTGCTGCTTATTTTTTATTTTTATTTTTTGTGTGGAAACTGTAGCAGTTTTGTTTTCAGGATTATTTAATGAATAGAAAATCGTTTTTGTTAGATTTGTCTTTCTGTATCAATGGAACATGATTTCTGAGTAAATTATCATTTGTATTGCTGCAAGAACTCTTGACTAACTTTATAAGTATATCTTGAACTAAGTAAATAAATAAATGAGTGCTACAAAAGTAGTGTGGTCCATTTAAATGACAAATGACAAACCATTTATCACAACACTTAGATCACTTACAATCACTTTATTTTGCTCTGGTCTAGTGTTAATAATAATAATAGCAGATGAGAACAACTGAACTAGATTACAACACTAAATTTGCAACATTGACACTGTTATTGAATTGAATTGAGCTGAATGGTGACTCTGATGCATTCTGTAGAGCTTCTTTATAGCTTAATTTAATTTGTTTTATAATTAATAATCTTTGCAACATTGACAGTTACTAAACTGAATTGAATCAACGTTGAACTAAACTGTGTGATTCTGTTGTCTTCTGTATAGGCCTGTAATTGAATTTGTTTCATAATGTATTCATTTCACAACAACGACACTGTTGTTTTCATGTTTATTACTGTGAAGATGCTTTGAAACAATCTGCACTGTGTAAAGTGCTATATAAATACATGTGACTTTACTAATATTATGTCAATTTCTAAATGTTAACATAAACGAACGCTCATTGATCGAGCTTTGCCTGGTCTTCTCTCTCCCGGATCAGAACACCTACACTAATGCAGATAAACTCCTGGAAGCGGCCGAGCAGTTGGCCCAGACGGGCGAGTGTGACCCTGAGGAGATCTATAAGGCGGCACGACACCTGGAGGTCAGGATCCAGGACTTCGTCAGGAGAGTGGAACAAAGAAAACTACTGCTGGACATGTCCGTCTCCTTCCACACGCACACTAAAGAGGTACGACTGACACACATACCTGGTGGATTACAGAGGAATGCTGGGAGGTTTTGCTGAGCAGTGCCAGATGTGCTCGAAGAACACGCTGTTTACCTTTCCAGATGCCAATCAGGCCCTTGTGTGAAATGTTAAATGCTTTTGCCATTACGTAATTCATTACGTGTTTAAGGCACGTTACTGCAGCAGTCAATAGCAGTGATTATTAGTGATTTATTATGCAGTAATGTGACATCACACTACATCCATCACCTCGTGCTCTCTGTGTTTGAGAAGGACAGAGAGTGTAAATATGTTGGAGGGTTAAGTGGCACAATCCATCTTTCTGGGGAGGTTTGGTGCTGTGCTTGTCTCATGGAGCTCAAGCGTGAGCTATAGTTTTGTTGATGTACAGTGGGGAAAAAAAGTATTTAGTCAGCCACCAATTGTGCAAGTTCTCCCACTTAAAAAGATGAGAGAGGCCTGTAATTTTCATCATAGGTATACCTCAACTATGAGAGACAAAATGAGAAAAAAAAATCCAGAAAATCACATTGTAGGATTTTTAAAGAATTTATTTGCAAATTATGGTGGAAAATAAGTATTTGGTCAATAACAAAATTTAATCTCAATACTTTGTTATATACCCTTTGTTGGCAATGACAGAGGTCAAACGTTTTCTGTAAGTCTTCACAAGGTTTTCACACACTGTTGCTGGTATTTTGGCCCATTCCTCCATGCAGATCTCCTCTAGAGCAGTAATGTTTTGGGGCTGTCGCTGGGCAACACGGATTTTCAACTCCCTCCAAAGATTTTCTATGGGGTTGAGATCTGGAGACTGGCTAGGCCACTCCAGGACCTTGAAATGCTTCCTACGAAGCCACTCCTTCATTGCCCGGGCGATGTGTTTGGGATCATTGTCATGCTGAAAGACCCAGCCACGTTTCATCTTCAATGCCCTTGCTGATGGAAGGAGGTTTTCACTCAAAATCTCACGATACATGGCGCACAATTGGTGGCTGACTAAATACTTTTTTGCCCCACTGTATGGCGATTGTAGGAATGTGGTTTTCTCACGACTGGCTCTGATGTCCTGATATCGCTCTCTCTCTCTATGGAGACTAAGATCTTGCTAAACACATCTATTTCAAGGTGACTAAAGACATGCTTTATGTACGTTTACGGTATTTGCAAAATAGGTTTTGGTGAACTTACTTATTTTGAAAGAAGTTGGTGCTCTTATTTTTCCCATCACTTTCCATTTCACAGCTGCAGTGAATGAGAGTGTGTGAGTGTGTGTGTGTGTGTGTGTGTGTGTGTTGAGAGTAAAAAGCACTACATTATGTGAGCTGAGACTAACATCAGCGGTTCTTGGCTAAAGGAGGTTCTCCTGCAGGCCAAACGTTTACAATGTTTCACACTGGCCTGGAGAGTTTCTGCACCGTCCTAATGAAAGAGGTCACAACACAGGCCCTTGAAAGTGCTCAGTTTTAGCAGCACTCCAGAAACACTTCATTTCAGTCGGAATCTGAACACACACACACACACACTTAAGGTCAGTGTCAGGTGAATGTAGCCTCTGTAAATAGTTCAGACAGAGAACAAGCTCAACAGATATATTATACACCTTCAGCAGTTATATACCTTGATAGTGCACACGTCTATTTGAAGTTTATGCTAGATAGTTTTGTTTCAGAACAAAGTATTGTAGCGAATTTAACTCATGGGGAAATATGAATAATTAACCATAACTAGTTATAATTAACTATTCATATTTTAGATCCACTGTAGATATTTAGCTGACCACTCAGGGTCAACCGTCTTGTCAATTCTAAGAACGTTAATTTCCTGGTTAAAGGAAATAACCTTCTTACTGCACAATTCTATAAGTTTGTAACGTAAATCTGCATGATTATTGACTCCGGTTATGAGTAAACAATGAACACGTCAAGTGTGATACAAATAAGGTTTTATTAACTACATAAACACTTAAACTAGTCAAACATACTACATTGTGAAATCTAGCTAACAAAATATATATTGTGTGTTGGAGTGTTCCAGACGCTACAGTATATTGACTTTTTCATCCCTTTATATATATATATATATAAAGGGATGAAAAAGTCAATATACTTTGTATATGGATGGCGTGATTGACCAATCAGAATCAAGTATTCCACAGAGCCGTGTAATAAAAGCAGATAACTCTACATTTCATGTTTTAGAGTTTAAATAAACACTTGTTTAATCTTTGTAATCTCCTCAGATGACAATGTAAATGCTTGACAAACGTTATTGTTGTGATCATAAACTATATGGATGTGATTACACGCAATACACAGAGCTTTTCCCTCACTATTGTAACGCGCTGCTTTTGCTGGGTTCCGTGAAAATGTTTCAGTTTTTATTTTCCGTTTTCGCCCTGAAGAAGATATCACAGGTTCATCGTTTGTCGAAATTATCCATCCTCGATCACTTTTAATCAGCTTTGATGAAACTCCTCTCAGCTAGCACGTCTTTTCAAAGTGAAAGTAGCCTTGTCACCTGACCTGAATACAGCGTGCTGATTCGCTAAAATGGACTTATCGGCTTCTGTTCAAAAACAGCAAGGGCGCTTGTCTCTACATTTCATGTTTTAGAGTTTAAATAAACACTTGTTTAATCTTTGTAATCTCCTCAGATGACAATGTAAATGCTTGACAAACGTTATTGTTGTGATCATAAACTATATGGATGTGATTACACGCAATACACAGAGCTTTTCCCTCACTATTGTAACGCGCTGCTTTTGCTGGGTTCCGTGAAAATGTTTCAGTTTTTATTTTCCGTTTTCGCCCTGAAGAAGATATCACAGGTTCATCAAGTTCGTCGAAATTATCCATCCTCGATCACTTTTAATCAGCTTTGATGAAACTCCTCTCAGCTAGCACGTCTTTTCAAAGTGAAAGTAGCCTTGTCACCTGACCTGAATACAGCGTGCTGATTCGCTAAAATGGACTTATCGGCTTCTGTTCAAAAACAGCAAGGGCGCTTGTCGGCTTCTGCAGTTAAAGGTGAACTCGCGATGCCTTGAAAGTGGACAAAACCATCTTTTTTGACAAAATGTGTTTTGGGTTCAGATTGTGCTATATGTGAAGAATAATGCATGGCAATCAGCTCTTTTTTTTTTTAAAGTGGCATTTATCAGTTTTTGCAAATTAACTCTTCATATATTCAGTATCTCACAGAAGTGAGTACACCCCTCACATTTTTGTAAATATTTTATTATGTCTTTTCATGTGACAACACTGAAGAAATGACACTTTGCTACAATGTAAAGTAGTGAGCGTACAGCTTGTATAACAGTGTAAATTTGCTGTCCCCTCAAAATAACTCAACACACAGCCATTAATGTCTAAACCGCTGGCCACAAAAGTGAGTACACCCCTAAGTGAAAATGTCAAAATTGGGCCCAAAGTGTCAATATTTTGTGTGGCCACCATTATTTTCCAGCACTGCCTTAACCCTCTTGGGTATGGAGTTCACCAGAGCTTCACAGGTTGCCGCTGGAGTCCTCTTCCAGATGGTAGAGACCTTGCGCTTCTCCACCTTCCATTTGAGGATGCCCCACAGATGCCCAATAAGATTTAGGTCTGGAGACATGCTTGGCCAATCCATCACCTTTAACCTCAGCTTCTTTAGCAAGGCAGTGGTCATCTTGGAGGTGTGTTTGGGGTCATTATCATGTTGGGATCATGCTCTGCTTTAGTATGTCACAGTACATGTTGGCATTCATGGTTCCCTCAATGAACTGTAGCTCCCCAGTGCCGGCAGCACTCATGCAGCCCCAGACCATGACACTCCCACCACCATGCTTGACTGTAGGCAAGACACACTTGTCTTTGTACTCCTCACCTGGTTGCCGCCACACACGCGTGACACCATCTGAACCAAATAAGTTTATCTTGGTCTCGTCAGACCACAGGACATGGTTCCAGTAATCCATGTCCTTAGTCTGCTTGTCTTCAGCAAACTATTTGCGGGCTTTCTTGTGCATAATCTTTAGAAGAGGCTTCCTTCTGGGACGACAGCCATGCAGACCAATTTGATGCAGTGTGAGGCGTATGGTCTGAGCACTGACAGGCTGACCCCCCACCCCTTCAACATCTGCAGCAATGCTGGCAGCACTCATACGTCTATTTCCCAAACACAACCTCTGGATATGACGCTGAGCACATGCACTCAACTTCTTTGGTCGACCATGGCGAGGCCTGTTCTGAGTGGAACCTGTCCTGTTAAACTGCTGTATGGTCTTGGCCACCGTGCTGCAGCTCAGTTTCAGGGTCTTGGCAATCTTCCTATAGCCTACGCCATCTTTATGTAGAGCAACAATTCTTTTTTCAGATCCTCAGAGAGTTCTTTGCCATGAGGTGCCATGTTGAATCACAGTGACCAGTATGAGCGAGTGAGAGCGATAACACCAAATTTAACACACCTGCTCCCCATTCACACCTGAGACCTTGTAACACTAATGAGTCACATGACACCGGGGAGAGAAAATGGCTAATTGGGCCCAATTTGGACATTTTCACTTAGGGGTGTACTCACTTTTGTGGCCAGCGGTTTAGACATTAATGGCTGTGTGTTGAGTTATTTTGAGGGGACAGCAAATGTACACTGTTATACAAGCCTTACACACACTACTTTACATTGTAGCAAAGTGTCATTTCTTCAGTGTTGTCACGTGAAAAGATATAATAAAAAATTTACAAAAATGTGAGGGGTGTACTCACTTTTGTGAGATACTGTATATATGAATATATAATTCATATTGTGACGATATTAACCGAAGATACAGTTATTATGGAAACCACAAAGATGGCAACATCACATTCACCACTGTGCTTTGTAACTATGTCAACAGTGTTTGAAACTAATGTAAAGAGAAATGAGCTCCTGAAGTGGCATGTAGGCCGTGTTTATTTCTGTAAGGAATATCTGTATGTTTTTGCTGCGGTTGGGTTTAATGTATCCATTGTGTTTAGCTTTATCTTAATGTGGGCGATTTTTCCTGTATTGTAAAACTTGTCGTATGTGTTACTGTTCAGAGCTCTTGTGTATGATTCATATGAATACTATTCCTGAGTGTGTCTCAAGCCCCTGTTGGGGGAATCATCTATCATGAGTATCACATCCTCCTGTAGAACTGCTCTACGCCTGCAACATGTTAAAGCTAAACATGACCAGCCTCCTCGCTGTAGATTTGGAAACGCCTTATTCATCATTACAGACTCTCGTTCTGCATCTGGCAGAACTGATGTTCCCACGCTCATGGAGAACCTGGGAATGTCAGGGATTGATTATAAATTCTTAAAATCTCATGGGAATTCTATATCATTTTTAGAAGTCTTTATCAAGTGATCACAAAGGTCATGGCAATTCATTGTTCAAAGGTGTTAACACTGTAAAAAGGGATCTGTGTTTATCAAACATGCCTGTGTGACTGATATTCTCTGGTCCTGTTCAGGAACTTCATCCACCAGCAAGATTGGCTCCGTGAGTTGTTTCTCATAAGCTAATTAATTATGCACAAAATTAATTCAAAGCATTTTTATTCCTCCACAAGGAAGAGTGAAGATGTGTTTACAGAGACTTTGAATGCAGCACAAAGATGACATAAGTTTATTTGCAGTGATTGTGGGACTCGTTGCATCAGTTTGCTGATTCTTGGTTGTCGGCACAGTTAGAAGTTAGAAAACAGGATGCACACAAATCATCATGATAACAGTTAACAACATTTTAACAGTTCTTTAATTTCATTTATGTAATATCAGACAAATTATCTCTTCTGCTCATATCTAAGGGGTGCATTCTTTCCATGTTTGCATGGTTTTTCCCATTATTTTTTATTATTTTTTATTTTTTTATGGTTGCAAACTGAAAAAAAATTACAATACACATTGCAGAAATGCATATGTTCATTTAATTGCATAGCCAAATAGCATATTGGCTATTGGACATTATTTGGAATTAAATCTAGGGATTTTAATTAATTTTTTTGCTCACCAAGGCACCATTTATTTGACTAAAAATACAGTAAAAACAGCAACATTGTGAAACATTACAATTTTAAAGAACTGTTTTCTATTTGAACATTTGTTCAAATGTAATTTATTCTTATGATGCAAAGCTGAATTTTCAGCGTCATTACTCCTTCAGATCCTTCAGAGATCATTATAATATGCTGATTTGCTGCTCAAGAAACATTAATTATCATTATGAATATTGAAAATACTGCTTATTTTTTTGTGGAAAACATGATACACTACTATTAAAATATTTGGGGGCAAGTAAGCAATGATTCAGCAAAAAATATCTCCAACATTAATAATAATAATAAGAAACATTATTAATAGTTAAGCAACAATAACAATTGATAATAATGGAGCGTCCATATCATATTAGCCATATTACCATATTAGCATAATATAATGATTTCTGAAGGATCAAATCAGCAACCTTTCTCTACTGACCCAGAAACACAACATCACCCAGCACTCCAGTGTTTGGGGGGCATTTTGTTCTGACTTTTAACGAATCTAGTATCATTTCTATACCGTTTAATCTTTTAGACTGAGATGTTAAAAATGGAAGGAGCATGAGAAATGAGAGCGTATATTTCCGGCTGCTTTCTAATATTGGATTCAGGACAGATTATTGTTAGATGAGCATTATAATCTGTGCAGACAGGTCACTCCATCTCTGAGTCTGTAGAGAAGTTTAGAAACTTTTTTTAGGTCTTTACAGGAGTAAGTGTGTTTCTGTGCTTCTATATGGGTCAGGTTTGTGCTCTGTTGTGCATAATAAATGTTGGTTACACTTTATTTTAAGGTGTCCTTTGTACAGTGTAATTATACATATACAGTGGGTACGGAATGTATTCAGACCCCCTTAAATTTTTCACTCTTTATTATATTGCAGCCATTTGCTAAAATCATTTAAGTTAATTTTTTTTCCTCATTAATGTACACACAGCACCCCATATTGACAGAAAAACACAGAATTGTTGACATTTTTGCAGATTTATTAAAAAAGAAAAACTGAAATATCACATGGTCCTAAGTATTCAGACCCTTTGCTCAGTATTTAGTAGAAGCACCCTTTTGATCGAATACAGCCATGAGTCTTTTTGGGAAAGACCCAACAAGTTTTTCACACCTGGATTTAGGGATCCTCTGCCATTCCTCCTTGCAGAGCCTCTCCAGTTCTGTCAGGTTGGATAGTAAACGTTGGTGGACAGCCATTTTTAGGTCTCTCCAGAGATGCTCAATTGGGTTTAAGTCAGGGCTCTGGCTGGGCCATTCAAGAACAGTCACAGAGTTGTTGTGAAGCCACTCCTTCATTATTTTAGCTGTGTGCTTAGGGTCATTTTCTGATTCGGTGGACTCGGTTCAGGAGCTGATCAAACAGTTTCAGCAGCAGCAGACAGCCACGCTGGAGGCCACACTCAACGTCATTAAAGAGGGAGAAGACCTTATGCAACAACTCAGGTATCAAGACACACATAGTTTCGCTCATGAGTTTACACACTTACAAACACTTTTCAAAATCTCAAAAAGGCTGCATAACAGGTATTTACATATTTCCCAAAATAGACAAAATAACTTAATTTACACAAATTATCCTGTTCAAATGTTTACGTATCGTTGATATGTAAACTTTTACAAACTTGGAAATGCACGCTCGGTATTAAGAACCAAATGGATCCAAACTTTGAAACAGAATTAAATATCTGTAAATCGAGTTATATTTTGTATTGTTGGATGTATGTAAATATACACTGAGCAAAATTATAAACACAACACTTTTGTTTTTGCCCCCATTTTTTATGAGCTGAACTCAAAGATCTAAGACTTTTTCTATGTACACAAAAGGCCTATTTCTCTCAAATATTGTTCATAAATCTGTCTAAATTTGTGTTAGTGAGCACTTCTCCTTTGCCGAGATAATCTATCCACCTCACAGGTGTGGCATATCAAGATGCTGATTAGACAGCATGATTATTTCACAGATGTGCCTTAGGCTAGCCACAATAAAAGGCCACTCTAAAATGTGCAGTTTTATCACACAGCACAATGCCACAGATGTCGCAAGTTTGAGGGAGCGTGCAATTGGCATGCTGACTGCAGGAATGTCCACCAGAGTTGCCCGTGAATTGAATGTTCATTTCTCTACCATAAGCCGTCTCCAAAGGCGTTTCAGAGAATTTGGCAGTACATCCAACCGGCCTCACAACCGCAGACCCCGTGTAACCTCACCAGCCTAGGACCTCCACATCCAGCATCTTCACCTCCAAGGTCGTCTGAGACCAGCCACCCGGACAGCTGCTGCAATGATCGGTTTGCATAACCAAAGAATTTCTGCACAAACTGTCAGAAACCGTCTCAGGGAAGCTCATCTGCATGCTCGTCGTCCTAATCGGGGTCTCGACCTGAGTGCAGTTCGTCATCGTAACCGACTTGAGTGAGCAAATGCTCACATTCAATGGCGTCTGGCACTTTGGAGAGGTGTTCTCTTCACGGATAAATCCCGGTTTTCACTGTACAGGGCAGATGGCAGACAGCGTGTATGGCGTCGTGTGGGGGAGCGGTTTGCTAATGTCAACATTGTGGATTATGTTAGGAACAACGAACACAGGTGCATCTTATTGATGGCATTTTGAATGCACAGAGATACCGTGACGAGATCCTGAGGCCCATTGTTGTGCCATTCATCCACGACCATCAACTCATGTTGCAGCATGATAATGCATGGCCCCATGTTGCAAGGATCTGTACACAATTCCTGGAAGCTTAAAACATCCCAGTTCTTGCATGGCCAGCATACTCACTGAACATGTCACCTATTGAGCATGTTTGGGATGCTCTGGATCGGCGTATACGACAGCGTGTTCCAGTTCCTGCCAATATCCAGCAACTTCGCACAGCCATTGAAGAGGAGTGGACCAACATTCCACAGGCCACAATCAACAACCTGATCAACTCTATGCGAAGGAGATGTGTTGCACTGCGTGAGGCAAATGGTGGTCACACCAGATACTGACTGGTTTTCGGACCCCCCAATACAGTAAAACTGCACATTTTAGAGTGGCCTTTTATTGTGGCCAGCCTAAGGCACACCTGTGCAATAATCATGCTGTCTAATCAGCATCTTGATATGCCACACCTGTGAGGTGGATGGATTATCTCGGCAAAGGAGAAGTGCTCACTAACACAGATTTAGACAGATTTGTGAACAATATTTGAGAGAAATAGGCCTTTTGTGTACATAGAAAAAGTCTTAGATCTTTGAGTTCAGCTCATGAAAAATGGGGGCAAAAAAAAGTGTTGCGTTTATAATTTTGTTCAGTGTATCTGTGTTTAATAGCCTCATTCATAGTCTATTAAGGTGTGTTAATAACATTTGTTACATGTACTTACTGTAACAATAACAGTAAATTATGCATAATTACAAGTGACTAACCCTAACCCTAATCGTAACCCTATAGTAGCAAGTATAGTGTGTAATTACACTGTATTACCGTCACCTTAAAATAAAGTGTAACCCAAGTTTTATGACCTTTTTATTAAAGAGAAATACTTCAGCAGATTTTGCAAGGGATGTGTGAATATACTTGTAGGGACTTTCCATTCACAGTAATATTTCTGAATATATTTGAAAAAGCTTGCTACCCAGATGCCATCATCTTTGATTTATGGGTAGTCCGGTCCATTTCTGGAGCCATAAATGGCAAAAAAAATTATGCACTGGTCATCGGTAACACTTTATTTTAAGGACCAATTCTCACTAGGAACTAGTTGCTTATTAGCATGAATGTTACGAACATATTGGCTGTTTATTAGTACTTATAAAGCACATATTCTACATGACTATAATTTAGATCCCTAAATCCTACCCCATACCTAAACATAACAACTACCTTACTAACTATTAATAAGCAGCAAATTAGGTGTTTATTGAAGGAAAACTCTTAGTTAATAGTGAATGTGTGTTCCCTATTCTAAAGTGTTACCACATCTGCTAAGATGAAATCTTAGTGAATTCTATATTGCTTACAAAAAAATTCCTCAGAATGCGCAGCAGCTTTTGAATTGCTGTCAAGAAATACTGCTTAATGCTGTAGTTACAGTAAGAGCTTAGTGAACTGTGCTCACCAGCCAAACATTGAGCCCCTTAAATAACTAGAAAATGTGTTTACAGTAAATATGCTTATAATTGAAATCTAACAGGCAAATATGGCTCAATGTAATGTGTTAATATGAAGCAATTTTCTGTATTTTGTTTTAAAGTTGATTGAAATGCCTATAAACTTAACAGCTATGTCCTGGCAGAAAATTAGATTTTATTCTTACATTGCAAACATGCAGTATCATGAATAAGAGTTTAAAATATATGCACTGTATTGAAAGTATAGTCATAACTAAAACATTACACGTGTTGGCATGATACTGGTGTGACAGAGTCATTTACCAAAGCCATCTGTGTAAAGTTATATTCAGGCCCACAGAAGATTCCAGCGATCTGAACACCGATTTAAAAATAAATGTATGTATAACCTGCCCCATGCATCAGTTGTGAACTCATCAGTGCATATGTGTTTCCAATTTAATTTTACAAACTAAAGAACGAGGCTGTATTATTTTGTGTTTTACGGACTGTCATGGATATGATGTTCATAAGCATTAAGTTGTATTTTAGCCAGCATATTTCTTTAGTATAAGTGACTTGTAGATTACCCAAATCTATACTCTTAACACATTAGTTGTGTGTCGCACAGAGATTCGGCGATGAGCAGTAATAAGATGCCTCACACGAGCTCTATCGCTCACACCGAGGGCGTCCTACAGCAGCTAGAGGAGGCCCAGGGCCACATGGAGGAGCTCTTCCACGAGAGGAAGATCAAACTCGACATCTTCCTGCAACTGCGCATCTTTGAGCAGTACACCATTGAGGTGAAATGTGTGTGTGTGTTTGCATGCTAGATTAGTTTATTTGAAATAATTTTCAGAGATTTATTAAAAATCAACAAATAGTTACTGATCTTGAACCAAAACAACTGGCTCTGAGATTAATAAAAAATATTATATTCAGAGCATTTGAAGAAGCAAATAAAATGCTTATCCCATGAAGCCTTGTGAATAAAGAAATTGACACTATTGACACTGTAAATGTAATACGGTAGCAACATTTTAGGTTTTACGGTTTTAACTTAAATTTACAGTTAAATACCGTAATTTCATTAACTGATATAATGTTAATATACCAACCTATTGAAGTACTGAAATCTGTTTTGTGTCTTTGTAATACACTGATAACCACCAAATGCAGGAGGTGATGAGAAAGTCACGTGATGAACCAAAGCCCATCACAAGCAGCTTTTAAATAATAACATATATAGAAGGTGCACAGTGTCATTCACACAAACACTAAACACCATCACGGTAACACACATGAAACTGAAATAATGCAATAAACATTCATTTAACAACATTAGGTGTAACACACAACCCTAATATACAAAACTGATAGAAAAAACTAAGAAGAAACATAGTTATTTCAACAAAAAAACATCACATTTGATCTTTTTCATCTTTTTCACTTCCAAAAACGGTATACTACAGTAAAATTACATGTAATGTCTAATACAGTTTTTCACCGTATATAGTAGGGGAATTTACTGTTAACAATTTAAACAATTTTTAATTAAGCAATTTTTTTACTGTAGCATTTTTACAGTTTTTACCGTTAAATTCACAGTAATTTTTTACAGTGCACAGGTGTTAAACTGTCCCTCCTGTCGTGCAGGTAACGGCGGAGTTAGACGCGTGGAATGAGGACCTGGTTCGTCAGGTCAGCGAGTTCACCGCAGAAGAACCCAGTCTGGCTGAACAGAGACTCCAGCGGCACGCAGAGAGAAAACTGGCCATGAACAACATGACCTACGAGGTCATGCAGCAGGGTCAAGACCTGCATCAGTACATCATGGAGGTCCAAGCTTCAGGTGAGAGAGAGTGAAAAGAGTACAGGTGCTTTCACTCTGACAGTCGTTAACTCAATAGTACAAGTTGTTGTACTATTGGTACTCACAGTCCGTTCACTGAGCACCTGATGTATTTTGCACACAAAAATAACCAGGGGCTGGATTCACGAACATCTTCTTAAGATAAAAGTTAAGGGATTTCTTAATCCAAGAAGTTTGTATGGATCTTCCTAAGCGCAATTCTTAAAAAAAATTGTTCAAAGTTCAAGTTCAAAAGTTAAATATGATAAATTGCACATTTTCAATATGACTTCAAGAAGTCAAAGTGAACAGGTTGTTATCAAAATCATGTATGTGTGTATATGCGTGTGTGTGTGTGTATATATATATATCATATATATATGATTTTGATATTTTTTGCTTTTTTATTAGATTAGTAGTAATAATAATAATAATAATAATAAAAAAAAATTTGTATAGCACTTTTCATACATAAAATGCAACTCAAAGTGCTTCACAAGCATAAAAATGGCTTAAAATCATCCTAAACTCTCAGATGGGAATTAGATGTTAGGAGAGCAAAGACTTCTTTTTGTAAAGAGATTTGATCAACATAGTCTCATGACAATTTGTATGGATTTAAATTTGCGTGAATTGGTTGTGAAATTGTGCACGCTCATTTACACACGTTCACACCTCCTGAGGATTAGGTTTAGGGGTGGACTTTCATGGTGATGTTTTCCCTACAAATCATCCAAATTCATACGGAATCACACACTCGTACAGTACTTATGAACTTCCATGTGATCGTGAGGAGAGGAGAGGAGGAGAGCCACACAGAAGAAGTGTCAGGTGGCATTGCACAGAAACACGGCGAGATGAACCAATAGGATTCAGTCTCCTCTGTGCTGTGATCTCCGGTCCGCAGTCACATGGGCGGCACTAATGACGCTCAGCACAGCTTTCATTTCAATATAAAGAACTGTGTTACACAGAAGTTAGACCAAATGTCACCCATCTCTTCAACTGTGTCTGTATTTAACCCACATTTCTTTTGCTCTTTGCTTTCATCTTCATATCATCCCAATGTCCAGCGCTGTGTCTCACAGATATTTTTAACACTGGAAACAGACTTCCTCTCCTCAAAGTGCTGACCCAACTCTCACCCCCCTCTCTCTCACATATGGGTCTTCTGTCCAGGCTTTGGACGCCGTCTGTTCCAGACATTACTGTGACAATCTCTCACACGCATGTGTGTGTCTCATTCTGCTGCTGGGACAACATTTACAATCACTGAATTAAGCTTTACTAGATGCTCTATATGCATATCATTCATTCATTCATTCTCTTTCTTTCTTTCTTTCTTTCTTTCTTTCTTTCTTTCTTTCTACTGACTTAAACTAAACTTTCCAACTGTATTTCTTTTAAGAAGTAATTATTAGAAATCAAATTTAGCAAAATAATTTTTCTTTCAGTAAACTTCATGAAAATAAAACTAATTAGCCTATTATGTCTTAATAATAATAACAATAATAATAATAATTACCAATTCATATTTTACCCCAATATCTAAAGAAAAACAAAACGAGACACAAAGAAAGTTATTATAAGACAATTGAGACTGTGTTTGTGTATGAGTATTTATTTATTTATTTATTTATTTATACTTCCCAACTGTAATTCTAACACGAAATAATTATTAGAAATCAAATTTAGCAAAATGATTTATTTGGATTATTCTTTCAGTGAACCACAAGAAAATAAAACTCATTAACATATTATGTCTTATTATTAATAATAATACTATGAATAATAATAATAATAATTAGCAAATCATATTTTACCCCAAAATCTAAAGAAAAACAAAACAAAACACAAAGAAAGTTATTATAAGAAAATTGAGACTATGTTTGTGTATAAATATTTATTTATTTATTTATACTTCCCAACTGTAATTCTAATAAGAAATAATTATTAGAAATCAAATTTAGCAAAATAATTTATTTGGATTATTTATTTGGAACTACATGAAAATAAAACTCATTAACATATTCTGTCTTATTAATAATAATAATAATATTAATAATGATAATAATAATTACCAATTCATATTTTACCCCAATATCGAAAGAAAGAAACAAAGAAAGAGAAAGAAAGAAAGAAAAAAATTAATTGTATTAAGAAAACTGGACAATGGCATATTTGTTTGTTTGTTTACTTGTATGGCAGTTATGCACATTTAACTGTGATGATACATTCCTTCTCTGGTACACTTGATTCTCAATGATCAATTGCAGCATTCTGTGGTCAAATATTTCTTGTATAATTATGTATATGTATAAACTAAACTGTAGAATTGACCTTTGTCAAGAGGTTTTGCCGAGAACACTGGATTTGAACTAGTTGCCATGCTGCCACCCAGTGGCCGTGAGTACACATGTACTTTCAGACAGTATAAATGCTAAGGATTCTGGTGAAATGTGTGTAATATGCAGGTATTGAGTTGACCAGTGAGAAGGAGGTGGATCTGGCCACTGAAGTTCAGGAGCTGTTGGAGTTTCTAAATGAGAAACAGCATGAGCTGGACTTGAGCGCTGAACACACACAGAAACACCTGGAGCAGTGTGTGCAGCTGTGCCACCTACAGGCTGAGGTTAAACAGGTAACACACACACACACACACACACACACACAGAATTCTCAACATAGTGGCTCATCACATCCCGATTGAGATGCATAACCTGTCCCATCTGCTTATCCATCTCAGGGCCAAAAGTGAAACGTTATCAATGAAAAACCCTTCCTGCTGCTTGGATAATCAAAGCTATGTTTATTGTTTGTTTTCTTCATATTCGTAGTGTAGTCTTGGGATAAAGTTCAGGCAGATGTTAGCTGTTCAGAGCCACAGCTGAAATTATTTCCCAAAGATATATTCCATTTAGCATATCGTCCTTACTATATACTGTAGCAATGTTTCCCAAACTTGATTGGTAGCGACGCCAAGACCTGAAATATGTGTCTTAGATGAGGGAGACACCTGAAATGTGAATTTTTGGTGGTGCTCTAGGACCAGAGTTGGGAAAAACATTTACATAGTATACAAAGTGGTGCTTAATGCAAGACCGCTACAGTAATTCTTAAATGTATGAATGTAAATGTTAAGTAATAAAGATTTTTTTTATTTATTCATTTTAGCAAGATGTTAAGGGCTAAGACAAGACAATACAATGTTCCCCTTCATGGGAACTTCGAACTGCGTCCTCTAGGGGTCGCTATGGAGAACGCCTCATCGTGACCCATGTCTGAAGCATACATTGAAAAAACACCAACAACACGTTGGCCGGCGACAGCCATGATGTATCTAATACTAATGTATTAAAATGATGTATCTAAGTACTAATACTGGTGCGACTATAGTATAAATAGGCACCGGGAGAACACATCATCCTCTTCTTCGTCTTCATTGACTTCATTGTTTTATTTGAAGCGTGCACTACTGTGGTAAGAGCGATCACTATTCATATAATTTTGGCGAGCACTAGCAAAGCGTTTAGAGGATGTGTGCATCCGTGTTGTCGTTGTTTAAACATCTGATGACACACACAAGCTATGCGTTATTTGTTTGGGCGAAGAGCACACACACGATGTCTCTGAAGGGCAATCGGCGTGCACTGCAATCGGCAATCGGTGTTCCAATGAAAAAACTCCGCTCTCGTCTGTCTCTCTTTTCGAGGAAAGAGGGGGTGCCATCTGCTTTCCGCGATTCAAGAACCGCCGCTGCTGAGGCACGGAAGAGAATGAGCTCATGGGGATTGCAGGTGGATCTGGCCGATGAGTTTGAAGAGGGGTTTTCCCTCTCGCGATTGTCGGCTGTGGACGAGAGTGAGCAGCTGGAGGATGATGTTATTTCATTAACATCGTCTGATCCAGGGGCCAGTGCTCTGCTGGGTTCGGCCCAGCAAAAGCAGGAAATGTCTGAGGAAGGCAAAGAAGCTGAGGCTGAGCCTTCCCAATCCTCCTGCCCTGCGTATGATGAGCTTTTGAAAGTTATGGATCGCTCCATGGCAATTATACATCGAGAGGTCATCTCGATGAACGTTATTTTTCTGGCCATAACCCTCCAGCTCAGGTGAGCCTCCCTTTCTTCCTGTTTTCCTTACAGAAATTGAGAAGGAATGGAAGAGGCCGTTTTTCCTCACGCATCCATCGATTCCAGCATACGAGTTATGCCAACATCGAGGCGATGCGCAAAAGTGGTTATGAGAAGATGCCAGCTATCTCTCTATGGGTGAGACGTCCTCTCTTAAGACTCCCTGCTTGACATCTCTCTCGAATGCCAGGGCATACACAGCAGCAGAAGGTTGGGCTGTCGCTTCATTGCACACGATGGTGATGCTCCAAGCATATCAGGCTGACCTGCTGAAAGACCTGGATAAAGGCGGTGAGGTACATGATGAGGTAGCTGAGTGCGCCGCACCACTGATCTTGCTCTCCGTGACGGAGGGACATCTGTGGGTGAACCTAGCAGATATCGGGAAAAAAAGAGTGGCTTTCTTCTCGATGTGCCGGTTTCGCCTTCTGTATTTTTGGTACCTCCGTTGAGACGGTGGTCGAGAAGCTCAGGGAGTCAAAGGCGCGCACAGCGGCCTTCATGAAGGTCCAGGTCTGAGCCCGAACAACCCAGGGGTCCCGGCCCGTCTCGGTTTGAGGATCAGAGACGGGCACAGAAGGCCTAGAGGCTTGCGCTCCTCCCTCGCCCCCCGGTAGGGGGAGGGAGAATCGCGGGTCAAAGGAAGGTAGGTAAAAGACCTAAGGGATGTGATCCAGACAGGGTGTCAGCACTTTTGTCCGGATCAGAGTGATACCTCAGTATCTACTCATTTCCTTTTGGGGTCTTACATCTGCCCTTATCTTCCCCTTCCTATTTCCCCTGTAACCACCATCTCTCCACCTGACTGAGGTTAGGTGGGAATTTCCTGCATTACAGTCTCCTATGCTGGACCTATGATGTTCGGTTGGTTCTATGGCTTCATAGTGACCACCTTACTGATGGTCCGGACCAGAGGCTTCTTCGGACGCTCCGACGCGGAAACATTGGTGGGTGAGTACGATCCATTTCTAAATATATATATATATATATATGTGTGTGTGTGTGTATATGTGTGTATTTAATGCGCTGGTGGTTGTGTGTATAAATCCTTCTGCTAGCTTTCTTTGCAGTGTTTCCCGGGACCTGTGTGTTTCTGTCCTTTTTCGAGGGTAGGTCCTCGATGAGCACCCCCTCTGCTGGGTTCAGAAACCAGGTGCTCGACTTGCAGTGTTTATTTCACTCATCGATATATGTCCAGATGGTACGATAAGTCGGGTTTCGGCTTCATACTTCCTGGATTATGCAGCCAGGTCACAAGCTTCTGTGAGAGCCTTCTTGATCATTAGGCCCCCGGCACTGCACTGCAAAAATTTGGACGTCCGGGCTGGACTTATGCTTTCAGGCTGCCCTGTCTGGTCTACCATATATCTAGGTCGCCTCCTGATCACCAGGATATCCCCTCTTGCTGAGGTATCGAGGGGGAAATATGGGAGGCATTGGTGAGATCCTTCATTTATATAAATGGTAAGTGTACACGTTATGCTTTGCGCACTTTCTAAAATCCACATAAGTGTGTGCACATTATGCTTTGCCCACTTTTCTGAAATTCTGTATGGTAAGGGTTATGCGTTATTAGCCTCGTTCCCTTTCTCTGAGTTGGTTTAGACCCCGGTACCTTGGGTTCCACTCAACTAGTGTGTCTCTGTCGACACACTCCGGAAAAATCGCTCCCCTCACCATTGAGGGTTATTGTGAGCATGGTGCTTTCTTTCGAGAGTTTAATTCTCTCTGAGGAGTTGGATTCCTCACTCCATGGGCAGTTCTCGTGGTAGTGCTGAGCAGTGCTCCCCTTTACCTATGAGCATGCTACTCCTTCTGAATTCGGAGTTCTCCTCTCACGTGAGGGTTGAGTTCTCTTTTTCCCCAAAGCACCTGGAACCAGCAGCATCAGGCGAACTAGGCCCTTCCTCTGCCTCTCTGATGTGCTGAGTTTTTTGGCTAGCTTGCAGCACACTTACACTTCTGATTCTAACAATCGCGCTGTAGGTCGAGTCCCCCCCCCTCTCAATGAGAGCTGGGTTTGTGCTCCCTCAGCTAAGGTAAATTACTTCTAGCCGTTCCAGCATTGGAACATGCTGTAGGTCGAGCCCCCTTCTCGACTGAGAACTGGGTGTGTTGCTCCCACAGCTAAGTAAATTATTGCTAGCTGTTCCAGCTTTGGAACATGCTGCAGGTTGCGCTCCCTCTCGATTGAGAGCTGGAAGTTTGCTCCCTCAGCTACAGATTTACTGCTAGCCACTCCAGCATTATAGTCATGGTTTCTGGCATGCACTCCCCTCAGCATGATGGCGTGTGTATACCGTTCCCCATAGTGACCCCTAGAGGATGCAGTTCGGGGTTCCCATGAAAGGGAACGTCTCAGGTTACGTATGTAACCATGGTTCCCTGAGTAGGGAATGAGACACTGCGTCCTCTAGGTTTCTTGCCATGCTTCAGATGCAAGCTTCAGACGAAGAAGTGGATGATGTGTTCTCCCTGTGCCTATTTTATACTATAGTCGCACCGGTAGTGACGTCATGGCTGTTGCCGGCCAATGTGTTGTTGGTGTTTTTTCAATGTATGCTTCAGACACGGGTCACGACGAGGCGTTCCCCATAGCGACCCCTAGAGGATGCAGTGTATCGTTCCCTACTCAGGGAACCATGGTTACATACGTAACCTGAGACGTTTTTCAGGCATTGGTTAATTTAGAGATTTTTGATTATTTTGCTTCTATTATAACTTCTTTCAGTCTATTGAAAGGAAAACATCCTAAATACACATTTAAAAGTGTTTATTTCATTACACTTTGTCTATTTGTGTCTTTACATTTTAAATACAGCCCATATCTTTAAAGGGAGTTTTCTAAAAAAATAAAATAATTAATCAGATTTTTTTTTGTTTGTTTGTTTCCTCATGCTGTGAGACAGAAATCTCAATTTCAGTAGGACTTACATACACCAAACTTTACAGTTTTTATTTTTATATATCATTCACCTGATTTGTGTCAAAATATGGCTACATTTTGTGTGTGTGTATCACTCCTGAATTATGGAGTGATATAAAGAGACCTTCAACATTTCAGTAATGATCACTTATGCTCATCAAGCCTGCATTTATTTGATTTAAAAATAAGTAATTAAAATAAATAATTAATAAAATAAAATAAAAAATATTATGCATCTAAATAATACTTTTCTATTGTACTATGTTTTACAATTTAAATATATTCCAATTATGGGAAAGCTGAATCGGTGCTCAAGAATTAATTAATTTATTTATAACACTTGTTGAAACCATGATATATATTTTTTATCATTATTAATGAATAGAAATTTAAAAAGAACAGCATTTATTTTCAATTTATTTGTAAGGATCTTTACTGTCACTTTTAATCAGTTTAGTCTGCCACTGCTAAATAAATAAATAATCTTACTGAACCCAAACTTTTGAACAGTAGTGTATGTGTTTTCCCTTTACCCATAATGCCGCAGGTCTTTTAGAGGACTCACCCTATCGGATCCATTTGTCAAAAATAACAAAGTATTGGTTGACTTAGGTCACTCATCTGCTCTTCTGTCTCTCACGATCTTGATGTATCGCAGTGCTGGACGTACACACAGTCTCATGTGGCTCTCTTTTGACTTCCTCTGATTGATAATCAATAGAGAGAGATGCAGCGGCTATGCCGGCTGATTCAGTGTGGCTCTCAGAGCTAATCTTATTCATAGCCTAAGTGAGAGCCAGAGTGCTATCGCCAGGGACGGCCCTAACGTGTCTGCCACTACATGAGCGCTAATGGAGAGAAATGATGAGCAGTTATGAATTCTGCTCAGTCTCACCAAGATATCACTCCACACTGACAGTGTCATATTCAGATCTGACTGACAGCTATTTCAGTGTAATATCATGCAGATGATTCAACCTAACCTTACCCAGCACTTAATTCTGTGTGCACTTAATGCATATGAAGAGATAGATGACAGACAGACAGATAGATAGATAGATAGATAGATAGATAGATAGATAGATAGATAGATAGATTATATGGAAAGAGCTACGCGCAGCAGCCTCATGCTCTTTCTGAGTGGTTTAAAATCCCGGTTCCGCCTTGGGCACCACTCCACCTATGTATCATCTGGATACCTACTTTAACAGGGTGTTGCTACTTGGTGTCTGTTTAGACAGTTCCTTTAGCATATGCAGAGCGTGCGGTAGCCCCTGTGTGACAGGCCAAGACTTAGTATGATTCTAGGCTCTTGGTCGTATTCTCTTAAAGGAATCTATTCCTGATTCCAAGCCTTGAGCTCAACCCCAGGCCCAGGAGTTCTGGCCCTAACAGGTAAGTTTTTTGGGATATGTAGCCTAGGCCTTTGGCCGTAGGGAATAATGTCACTGACAGCCGTCTAACGTCCCAGGGGCAACTCCCATGGCAATATGGTAGAGTTGGTACTTAGTGCTTGTCATGGTTTCTGGCATGCACTCCCCTCAGCATGATGGCGTGTGTATACCGTTCCCCATAGTGACCCCTAGAGGATGCAGTTCGGGGTTCCCATGAAAGGGAATGTCTCAGGTTACGTATGTAACCATGGTTCCCTGAGTAGGGAATGAGACACTGCGTCCTCTAGGTTTCTTGCCATGCTTCGGATGCAAGCTTCAGACGAAGAAGTGGATGATGTGTTCTCCCTGTGCCTATTTTATACTATAGTCGCACCGGTAGTGACGTCATGGCTGTTGCCGGCCAATGTGTTGTTGGTGTTTTTTCAATGTATGCTTCAGACACGGGTCACGACGAGGCGTTCCCCATAGCGACCCCTAGAGGATGCAGTGTATCGTTCCCTACTCAGGGAACCATGGTTACATACGTAACCTGAGACGTTTTTCAGGCATTGGTTAATTTAGAGATTTTTGATTATTTTGCTTCTATTATAACTTCTTTCAGTCTATTGAAAGGAAAACATCCTAAATACACATTTAAAAGTGTTTATTTCATTACACTTTGTCTATTTGTGTCTTTACATTTTAAATACAGCCCATATCTTTAAAGGGAGTTTTCTAAAAAAATAAAATAATTAATCAGATTTTTTTTTGTTTGTTTGTTTCCTCATGCTGTGAGACAGAAATCTCAATTTCAGTAGGACTTACATACACCAAACTTTACAGTTTTTATTTTTATATATCATTCACCTGATTTGTGTCAAAATATGGCTACATTTTGTGTGTGTGTATCACTCCTGAATTATGGAGTGATATAAAGAGACCTTCAACATTTCAGTAATGATCACTTATGCTCATCAAGCCTGCATTTATTTGATTTAAAAATAAGTAATTAAAATAAATAATTAATAAAATAAAATAAAAAATATTATGCATCTAAATAATACTTTTCTATTGTACTATGTTTTACAATTTAAATATATTCCAATTATGGGAAAGCTGAATCGGTGCTCAAGAATTAATTAATTTATTTATAACACTTGTTGAAACCATGATATATATTTTTTATCATTATTAATGAATAGAAATTTAAAAAGAACAGCATTTATTTTCAATTTATTTGTAAGGATCTTTACTGTCACTTTTAATCAGTTTAGTCTGCCACTGCTAAATAAATAAATAATCTTACTGAACCCAAACTTTTGAACAGTAGTGTATGTGTTTTCCCTTTACCCATAATGCCGCAGGTCTTTTAGAGGACTCACCCTATCGGATCCATTTGTCAAAAATAACAAAGTATTGGTTGACTTAGGTCACTCATCTGCTCTTCTGTCTCTCACGATCTTGATGTATCGCAGTGCTGGACGTACACACAGTCTCATGTGGCTCTCTTTTGACTTCCTCTGATTGATAATCAATAGAGAGAGATGCAGCGGCTATGCCGGCTGATTCAGTGTGGCTCTCAGAGCTAATCTTATTCATAGCCTAAGTGAGAGCCAGAGTGCTGTCGCCAGGGACGGCCCTAACGTGTCTGCCACTACATGAGCGCTAATGGAGAGAAATGATGAGCAGTTATGAATTCTGCTCAGTCTCACCAAGATATCACTCCACACTGACAGTGTCATATTCAGATCAGACTGACAGCTATTTCAGTGTAATATCATGCAGATGATTCAACCTAACCTTACCCAGCACTTAATTCTGTGTGCACTTAATGCATATGAAGAGATAGATGACAGACAGACAGACAGATAGATTGATAGATAGATAGATAGATAGATAGATAGATAGATAGATAGATAGATAGATAGATAGATAGATAGATAGATAGATAGATAGATTAAGTAAACTTATTTTGTTGTTGACTAACATACTAAAGCAGATGTAAAGTACTTGATTATAATTCTAGCTGTAGTGTTATTTGATATTACATGTAGACTTAATAATTTAATTTAAATGTACTAAATTGCAACTTCACCATCACAAATGTGTAATTAAAATATATTTAAATACATGACGTACAAGTTTCAATAGAAATTACATTAAAGTATATTTTGATTTACCATAAATGCTTGTCAGCACACATTAACCATATTTCAAAGAAATTAGAATTATGAAATTGCATATAAGGATGTATTTAAGTCCTACTTAAGTGTGTCAAAAGCACTTTAAAGTTCAGCTAAATGCAATTAATATAAATGTAAACTGTAATACATTTTTATTTTATTGCAATTAATACTGCATGCAGTTAAATGTACAAAAACATTTCTGAAGTTGTGTTCATTGTATTGCGTGTTTTTTAGGTTCTGAGTTGGATTCGTAATGGTGAGTCTATGTTGGATGCCAGTATGGTGAACGCAAGTTCACTGTCAGAGGCCGAACAACTACAGAGAGAGCATGAGCAGTTCCAGCTCGCAATAGAGGTAAACACACACACACACACACACACACACACACACACTCACACACACACACACACACACTCTCTCTCACACACACACACACACACACACACACACACACTCACACACTCACACACACACACACACACACACACACACACAC